ATGTGGTTATTTTCTTTTTCAGTTATTTGTTATTGTTTACTAACTTATTTTCAAAAATAAATACTGTTTAAAATGTCTATCTTCAACATTTATTCATTATGTGTAAATAAGTTTATCATTATATCATAATGTTGTGTGCAATAACAAGGCTTTACCGACTTGTTTCTAAAACATTGGATGTTACTGACCAAATCGATTTATTGCTCTGAACAAAGATCATCTCTCTTTACAAACTCTAAGCTCAAGTAACTCGATATGTCGAATTATTTCCTTGTCTTCTACTGCGCTTTAAAAATTACACCTGTATTCGAAATGAAATATTGATATCAGCAAATATTGATATGTATACAGGGTGATTCAGAACTTATCCAAAAAAAAAAAAATTTTGGATGTACAGGGGCTCTTACAAATACAATTTTGTAAAGAAAAAATCAAAAAGGGCAGTTCGAAAATGATTTAAAAATACACTTCTTTGTTATTATTAATTAATAAAATTTGTGGTTTTAATTAATAAAATAATTTGACATATCTGATGTTACAACAACTGTTCAAAATTTTATCCACTGACATGTAAACAAATTTGGGTCCGTCTTATTCAGTTTCTATGAACTAACACAAATGTTGTCTTGCTTCACCATAAATTAAAACGATATCCATCAACTCCGAATTGCTATACACGCAAGCCATTTTTGACATGAACTACTAAAAAACTATTGTAATCACCACAGATAATAGGTAAACACTATCACAAAGACGATTGTAAAACGGATTTCAGTATTCGGAGTTGCTGATAAGCCATGTGGCTCTCCATGCGTATTGCGAATGACTACAGTTGTCCAGCTATGTAATGGTTGAATGTACTATAACTTCAATAATTTTTTTCTCGGAAACTATAAGGATTTTACAAAAAATTTCTTTACGATATTGATTCCATTTCTTATGCCGCATCTATTCCCAATTTTTCTTGGATAAGTTGTGAATCACCCTGTATGTTTTTTAATCTTTAAAAAGTAGGTACTTGATACCATCTTTCAACTTTTGATGAAAGTTTTTTTTAACACAGACCATGAAATTTGGGTAGACAAAAATAATGTATGCTGAGATAGATGTTATTGAGTAGATACACTATTTAAAAAAGCAAATTTAAAAATCAGTCTATGCACTATAAAATATAAAGGTGTTGCTGCTTCAAACTGAGTACATTGTAGAACATACTTTAAAACATTACCTTATATAAAACAAAAATAGATTTAGACTACATAATATAAATTCATGTTAACTGTAAGTTTAAATGTGAAGATACTTATTACATAGGTATTAAGACAATAGGCTAATAGAGACCAATATAGAGTTGCACTTGAATCAGGCCTAAACAATATGCTACAGTATTGTAATTTTTATATTGTTATTTAGTGTATGTTTTACTTATAAGGAATCCATGTTTTAATACAAATAAGCATTTGAAAGTTATTGCATTTATATATATATTTGTACTATAGCGTCTGTTTCGTGGTACAGGGACTATTATATTTTATAATATGTGTAAATATACACACAGTTATCTAATAAAAGTTTGTTTGATTTCCCTTTTAAGAAACGAAAAAAAGCAAAAATAAAATTGCCAAGAATATACTGTCAACTTACAAGGTAAAGTTTGGAAGCTGGATCCGGGTTTATGGCTTGTTTATGCAATTCTGCTCGCAAATTATATTAAATTTTACCACCATAAAAAGTATAATACACATTATTTGTTGTCATCTTCTGGCAAGATATGTTAAAACAATATTTTTGACAATAAAAAGTAATCTTGAGACTTTTATACCTTATATGTATGATGTCAACTTCAATTATTTTGGATCTCTCTCAGTGGCAGCTCGTGACATTGAGAATAGATGAAGCATATTCATTGATTGACTAAAAAGGAAAAAAGTGCCGCAGGCGAAAATTTTTAGGAACAAACGGTTTTAAATTAATCTGGAAATTTCATGTAGATTTTATAAAAAATAAAAATATTAGTTCAGCTTGTGGACTTCTGCGAACATTTTCGCACAACTTATATGTATGTTTCAAAGAAGCTTCGTGGTTATGACAGCCTGACGTTCCCAAAATGATTAAATCCCTCCTTATTCCACACGCCCAACTACACCCACAGTTAAATACGGCATACAGAAAAGTTTTTATAAATAAATACTTCCACATAACCACTTATACTCCGAATACCATTCATTCCGAAACTTCCGAACGTACACATTGTCTTTTGACTTCCCCTTTTTTCCATATCAAGAGAATAAGGCATAGGTCTCTCGCAATTTAAGAAATCCATTTTGTCTTCAATTTTCCATCTGGAAAATGGTATTTCCAATAAAATAAATACTGGATCATACATAGAAAACATTTCTACAATTATTATAACAAAGAACCGTTAGAATCGTGCACTGGGCGACGCGTATCGTATAAACTGTTTAAAGGCAGGCAATACCGCGATGGCTGATGATGACAATGCTGCTTCAATTTCCGCGTCACTTGTTCCCCCACGCCGTAGTTTACTTCCGTGTTGGCCGCCTCGTTGCCATGACAACCGCCGTAAACAACGCTATGAACAGAAGCGGAATATAGACTAATTTCGATCCACGTCACTTGCTTATGCTATACATTGTATGGTACGAGATTAATGTTCGCGCTCAACGAAGGCACTGTTTTTTTAGAAGGCGGTCACCTCGCAACTATTCTGTTTATTTCTGCGTATAAAACAAACAAACACAATACATTTTGAATATAGAATTATACCTAAATTATAAAATTTATATAAAATTAAAAATAATTTTAAATTGCAGAACCAAACAGAAATTTTAGGAGAAGCGGTGTGTCACTTGCGTCACCTGGCGAGCCGCCCCTGATCTCTCTGTATAATATATTGTACAATTTAAAAACTGACCTTAGGTTGTTTTAACTTTTGTTTTAATTGAATACATAAAGGAAGAACAAACAATATGTCTTGTCTTAGATAAGATACTTGATTGGAATTCCCATGTGGAGAAAGTGTTCCACAAAGCAAGAATGTCGCTATACGGTCACGACATATTTCTGAAAATCCTAGGGCATAGGTCCGTAGGTCCTAAACTGTTGTATTAGTCGTAATGATGGTCATCAGACCTCTGAATATGCATGGCTTAATAGTTTAGTGGTCTAAAAGTTTTCAAAGGTCAACCAAAGCCAAACTCTCTGGTGCACGGACAGAAACGTGTCTGGTAATAACTGGAGCAAGCAATTCCTAGATTTAACACTTCATTTATTAGTTGAGAGAAGCCAGATGGGTAGTAGAGAAATTAAGGCTGAAACATTAGAGTATACCAGGTTTGCTGAAGGATATGGAAAACCACCTCTTCTATCGATGGAGGGATAAATGGGATCAAAGTAGAACTGACCTTTTGATGTCAGTAAGCTTAGCTACTTAAGCAACTATCTTTCTTGGAAAAATGTATGCTATTGAATTTTAGTAATTTGTGTATGGAGGCTGAAGCAAGATGCACGCACGTAAATGAATAAAAATTTTTATGGACAAGTAAGCAACTTCGAATCATACCGGAATAACTCAAGAATGCTAAGGAACTCTTAGAAATCTCTGGTACAATTAGAAAATAACAACAGTAACTGATTTGGATACTTCTTCTTCTTCTTTTTGGATGTCCCGAAAGTTCATCGTCTCCCAAGCTCTTATGGCCACGTTTAAATTCAGCTGCCCAAAAATTTCACTGTGGTAAATGATGGTGCAGAGTCCCCATACACAAAATCCAACTCATCTTTGATTTGGGTAGGCGTATTGCCTTTCAAAAACAAATATTTAATGACAGCTTGATACTCGATTTTGTCCATTTTCATAAAAAACACTCACAATAACTCACTCAAACGACTGTTACATAACAACTGCGCATCCAAAATGGCTGAAACATCGGTGAGTAACTGTCAACAGATGAACAACGAAATTCACTAGCTTTTATTTACGAGTGCTGCCATCTTCATGTTGAGGTCGGAAACTTGTCAGACCACCCTCGTTAACAGTTTTAGATCATGTTACCTTGATAGGGTTTATAGTTCAAACGTAATATAGAATTCCCTGAATTTTTTCAGGTTTTCCCCGACTTATAAAAAAAAAAATCCATCACTTGTTAGTTCATTTTTATATACTAATTGATGTCTATACATTAAACTTTGTCTAGACTGCACTCCATAATCTTTCTCATTCCTCAAGAACCTCTTATGAAGGTTTCCAAACCACAAATAATTTTCTCTTTCAAGAACTCTCAACAAGAAAATTTCCAGTAGCAAACATCAAATTCCTATTTTTTTTATGAAGAATAATGGGTTTACGGGTTTTCCAGGCCGCTACGAACCCCGCTTGATACAATTTTGTTTACTTAAAAAGTTACAAGCCTTTAAGAATGTCGTCATTTTGAAGATTCGTAAGTTTTTAAGAAATGTACCAAGGTAAATTGATCTACTAATTGATGGTTGACTTTAAAAAGAATATTTCTTTTGTAAAATGAAATTTTACATTATAATAATTATAAGTTTTACCATAAAATGTCACCAAAAGGGATAATAGCTAGCGCCTCCTGGCAGATGATCTAAAACTAATAACATTAACATATAAAGTACACTCAATAACTTATCTGGACCAAATTTCAATGCAATATATTGTTTTTTGGAAAAGATATGGATAAAATTTTGCTTTATAAAATTAACTTTGACCCCTGTATCTTAAAAAAAAACAATAGGAAAAAATTTATTTAGTGAACATTCAAAACAAGTATTGAAAAGACGAAAAATTTTGCATTAAATTGTTAATAACAATGAAAATTGTTAATCAATCGAAAAACCCCTACGATGTTCTCTGGTTTATGTTACTGTGAACCTCTGTACAAAATTTCAAGTCGATTCATTGAAAACTTTTTGAGTTATGTTTACGGCCAATTAAAAAAAAAAAAGTAGTTTCTCGGAAAACGCTTTTATTTTTATTGACATTCAGCATAAGAAATTCGTTGTACATATACTTTCAATCAGCGATATGCCTGCACTATATAACTGGCCTTCTATATTGATATTTTCTTCATTCTCTTCTTCTTGGCTTGATTTGAAACTCAATCTGGCCACTCTCTCACGAGTTACAACAAACACTCCTGCAGCACACTGCGAGTGATTGCACCCCACCTCGAAAAAACTCATATTCCCGATTTTTCCCCCACCTAAAACTTTTTCCATATATTCCTCACATAATAAAGCATTGTATAAACCACCATTTATCCAAAAATCGGTTTTATAAAATTTCTAGAGTGGCTTTAACCCTCAAATAAAAAAGTGGTAAAAAATTCCACAAATAAATAATTTCAGAAAATATATCATAATCTCAGCCACCCTTTCACCAAAATACTCCAAGTAGGTAATTCAAGTTTGCGCAGATTTCATCTCAAGATTTACTTTACTTACCTCCAGTTCCGATAAGTGAACAATACACAGTAATTGACTGATTGGATTTAATATCGACAAAAATCAGTCTGATTTCCTCTGTAGAATATGTTTTTCACCATTTAGGAAAGTAAAATATGGATTTAAAATGTAACATTAACTAACAAACTTTAATTACGATACATAGTTTTAATAACATATTTTAGCAAAAGATTAAAAGTATTTATTTAAAAAATATATATAAAACAGAAATCTTTTCACCATTACTAAATTTTAACTAAACCACACTACAAATCAGCGCTAACAAGTTGATAATTATTGTTACCTTTGTTTAATAAAAATCCCTGTATATTCAGACTCTGTAAAATATTATAGAATTTTTCTTTTGTAATTCCAACTTGTTCCCCCATTTCTCTTATTTCTTTGGTTGAAAACAACTTCTTTGCTTCTACGTCTGATTTTCGTTGTAGCATCTGCAGCAACTTTATTGCCTAAAATGGGAAAGAAATAGAATATTTTATATTTGTCAAATCAGACTAAAAGTTAATTTACCCACCTGATTTTTTGTACTCATTCCAGTACCATTCTGACATCTAGTTTTGTCTATAAGACCATGTTCGTCGGTAAAAATGTCTATTAAACTATACTTCATAATTTCTACAACATCTAAAGCATCTCCTTCCGTAGCTTCTTCACGAAGTTCCGCTTTTGCTCTTGCCTATAAATGACCTGTTAGTTTCAACTATTTTAGTTCAGTCAAGTACAAAATTGCTTACTAACTTGTGTTAACCTAATCAGAGAGTGTAACTGCCTTGTGGTGATAGGTGTACAATCGCCTGTTTGATATTGTTTCCTCAGATCAAGGTAATATTTCTTTAAAACTTCTTTTGCGCCATCTGACAATTGAGGACTCACATACCTCTGTGCATAGGCTATATATTTTCTAAACAAAGCATGAGGTAACAAATCTACGGTCTCCCCATTAGATCGAAGACGATCTCTAAAAAAAAATATATTATTAATTACAATACTACTCATAAAAGTGCTTACTATAGTATGATTGGAAGAGCAAAAACTGTTTTAATTGTTAATTTTAAAATAATTACATTTTTTGAAATATCGTCTGTCTGTTAGATTAAGAAGTTGTGAAACGTTTTATGAAAAAAATATCATTTTATTCTGATAAACATACAGGGTGTCTCACGGTGACAGCCAATTAGAATTATTTCAGAGACTACTTCGATTTGAATTTTGAAAATTTGGGGTACCGGGTTTTCGGGCATGCCCTTCTCAACTAAAATAATGACGTCCATGTACCACTTCTGGTTATACCGGAAGTCACCATCAAATTGCTTATTTTAAATGGAACACCCTATATATTATTGCAATTTTGGATTCTACATATTATTTTAGATGGACTTTTATGAAGTTTCCCTATTCCTAAAATTAACCGTTTTTGAGATATTTAATTTTTTTCAAAAAAATTGAGAGAAACATTGACTAGCTTCAAACCATGTGTATTTTATAGTAAGAAAGATAAACAATGTTTATAGGGGGGATAGCTAGAACCTTAAGCTTTCCATCCATATTTTCAAAGTGGCTTAATTGCATACAGGGTGCTAGAAATTTAATGCCGAGTTTAGTTCGAACCTTCATAAGTCGATTTTTTTAAATGGTATGTTTTTCTATATTCTGATACACAATTTTATTATCTTTCGAATGGTATCAGGGTTCCCTATACCTATTTCTTCTAGTTTTTGAGTTATCTACTACTTTTTGTGTAATCATCTAACTAAAATCATGTAATTTCTTGCGGGGATAGTTGTGGATTTTTAGCAAAACTTCAAAACAAACAACTAAACTGTCACTGTTGTACTCTTGTAGTGACAGTTTAATTTAGTGTTTATAAGAAATGGCAAACAATACTATTCAAATGGTGATATTTTAAATTTATTATTCATTCACGGACATTGCAATGGGATTATAAGCAGAACATGTACAGTTTTTAATAAGACATATCCAAATTAGCACCAATGAGCAGAAAAAAGTTAAGAAGAATTTTAGCAAATCAACTAGAGTATAGTCGAATTTGTGTAGAAAGAATTTTACCAAAACCAATAACTTCAAATGAAGATAATGTAATAAATGTGCTAGCCTATTTTAATGTTCATACAGAATCCTCAACTCGTGCCGCAGAGTATGATTTAGGCATTTCACGAGCGTCCATTCACAGGATGCTAAGAACTAACGATATACATCCATACAAATTTAAGCTACTTTCTGCTCTTCATCCAGGTGACGCCGTGCAACGTGTACAATTTTGTGAAACGATGTTAGTCAAAATTTACGAGAGAAGGTATTTTTAATAGACATAATACTCATTTGTGGTCATCTGAAAATCCTCATGTTATCTGGGAAATAAACTTTCAAAATAAATTTAGTGTAAATGTTTTTTGTCTAATTAAAGATAACCAAATTTCTTACCATATCTACAAAGAAAATTTAAATGCTGACAGATATCTCAATATTTTGCAAATGGTTGTGGCAGATTATCTAGATGATATACCTTTGGACCAACTAAAGAAGTGTTGGTATCAATTAGACGGGGTTCCACCTCACTGTCACAATCAAATCGATCAATAGCTGACTGAAATGTTTGAAGACAGATGGATGAGACGCCTAGGATCATGGAATTGGCCAGTGGTCTCCCGACCTCGCTCCATTAGATTCTTATATTTGGGGAGTAATAAAGCAAAAAGTTTATTCTACACCGGAAGCTTCAAAGGAGGATTTGATTGCTCGAATATGAAGAGCGTTCCATGAATTGCCTGCAGCTGAAATAGCAAAAACGGTGACTGATGGTGTTATCTCTAGAATCCACAAGTACTTAGCTGTTAATCGGGGTCATATTAAACAATTATAACTTTTTCAAGTAATTTTTTTAGTGCATTATTTTTATCAACATACATAATTAAAATTGTGTATTACTATGTATGAAGTTGATTTTTTAGAATTCTTCTTAACTTTATTCTGCTCATTGGTGGAAAATTGGGATGTCTCATTAAAAACTGTAAATGTTGTGCTTAAAATCCCATTGCAATGTCTGTGAATAAATAATAATTAATAACTGGTAACAGTCTAGTTGTTTGTTTTGAGGTTTTGCTAAAAATTCCACAGCTATCCTCGCAAGAAATTACATGATTTTAGGTAAAAACGAGGAAGAAATTTAGAAAAAAAAAAGTTTTTCCTCTCTGGAACATGATTTTGATGTGATTCTTGATCTTGATTTTTTACTTAATTTACTGTTAGTTTTTTTTATAGATTAATTTAAATATAAAATGTATAATTATATGTAATTCATTCATTACAAGTTTTGTTGGGTTCTTTAGTAGATTATTGTTGATTAAACTTATATTAGTAAAAGTAGCATAACAAAGTACATCCATGTTCCTATTTTTGTGCAAGCTGTACTTCTGGTCATAGGATTTTTAACATAAACTTACATTAATGTATCCGTTTCAGAGTTGGAGTTATTGAAAAAACTTGTACTGGCATCTTGCCTATTTTCATTTTTTTTCCTGTTATGTGCATTTAATATATGTTTAGACAGCAGCCTGTCGAGTTGCTAGAAATTAAACAAATTATTTAAATAATAGGGTCGAAAAATTCGAAGCTACAAACATTTAAAAATATTATTTAATTTTTTTATGTTATTAAAATAAAGATTGTAGTACAAGATCCCGACTTAGATCGACCTTCACCCACGAGTTTTCTAACGAAATTTGAATTTTGATAATATAATGTATTAGTAAACAAAACTTTATTTGGTCGACATTCAATTTCCCTGCACAGCTATTTTTAATAAAAAAATTAGTTGTTAATTTTTTTTTCATTAATACCAATCGAAAGTAAAATATGTATACAATATGCCAAAGTTTGGTCGACATTTTTGTTCCTTGCATAAAACCAGGTAGACAAGTATAAACAGGTAACTTTGAATTGAACTTTAATTTTAAATTGAATTGAATTGAACTTTAATTTTTTATTAAAAATAGCTGTAGGGAAATTGGATGTCGACAAAATCAAGTTTTGTTTATTAATACATTATATTACCATAATTCAAATTTCATTAGAAAACTCGATGGGTGATAAGGTCGATCTAGGTTGGGATCTTAGACTATTGGTAAACTAACAGCAAGTAACAAGATAGAAACTGTGTATAATATTGCAATTTTTTTGCTTAATTAATTTACTATTAGTTTTTTATACATTATATCTGATTTAGATATCAAATAATTATTCATTTTCATTTCAAAACGAGGTTCTTTCCTACGCTTTTGTTGATTAGACTTATTAATTAATAGTGGTAGTATAAAAAAGTATACCTATGTTCCTATTTTTGTCCAATTTTTACTTTTGATTGTAGGGTTTTTAGTACAAACTTACATTAATACACCAGTTTTAGAGCTGGAGTCATTTAATGTTTACTTAAGTAGACCGACAGTGTCACAATCATTATAAGGAAATACCTGTCAGAAGTTTTATCATTTAAATGTTGAGTTAATAATTGTAGCTTTTAAATTAGTGTCTTATAAAAATTTGTTTGTTGATATCTCTTAGAATTGAAATTCATATGATTGGGTATGAAAGCAACAAGAAGTATATGGTTTATTTATTCATTGTTGAATAGCCACCAGGGTCACCAGACTTTATACTGATAGAGTTTTTTTTTTTGATAATATAGAAAAACACACCTGACAATATTGAAGAAATAATAAACAGAATTAGATTAATTTCTAAAGACACAATAAATAAAGTATATAAAGAAGAAGAACCGAAATTTCAGTGACATCACGGCTAAGAAAATAAAGTCAAAAAGTGAGAAATTAAAATTAAAAATCAACACCCGTTTTTTATTTCGAAATAATGAATTTCCATACATTATATACACACTATATATATGTAAATAAATATAAAATACTTATAAAATAAGATTTCATGTAATTAACAATTTTATCTGCGAGGATGGATATCTTTTGCATATCTAAATTTCTAGGTGTTGAACATGAATTTCATTTGACAAAACTTTTTAACAATTATTATTTTTTGAATTGTAAATCTACAATAATTTCACTGGAAAGAATTGCAAGGAAATACCAACACAAATATCTCACTACCAAATTGAAACGGGAATTGTATATGTATTTAGAACCAAGAAATATTGACAGTCACTATAGAAACGTTGTTCTAATGTACAAAATTCAACAATGAAATCATCATGTTTTGTACCTTTTTTTTGCTCATTGAAAATAAAAAAATGACAAAATACATGTTAAATATTTTAAGTAAAACTGTTGACAAAAATATGACAAAAATGAGAAAAGGCCCTATTTTTGTTTAAATTTTAGTTATTTTATACAATCATATTCGTAAATATAATACTAACCTCATTAGCTTGATCGAGTAAAATGAAAATTAAATCAAATCTAGATAACATTGGCGAACTTATTTTTAAATTTTCTGCAATTGTTTTACCCTTATTATAATGGCCACCTGATGGATTTGCAGCTGCTAAAATGGTAGTACGAGCTGGCAAAGAACAAAGAATGCCCGCCTTTGCTATGCTTATTGTTTGTTGTTCCATCGCTTCCAGAAGGCTCTAAAATTAGTTATAATTTTCATGTGCTTATTTCAACAATGAAAAAATTAATTATTCTGTAATGTACCGCATGTTGTGATGGCATCTTATCAAACTCATCTATACAACAACACCCCTTATCCGCTAGCATTAAAGCTCCTGCTTCTAATGCATGTTCGCCACTTTCTCTAGTCATGGTAACAGTAAGGCCAGAACTGGTACTAGTATTTCCACAAACATAGACACCTTAAATAAAGATATTTCTGTTTTGTATTTACAAAAATTTATTTGCATTTTGTACCTCATACTACTAATTTAATATTATTTTGGTCTATTATCAAAAGAACTAATTTGTTACTTCTTTTAGGGTTGTTCCACGTGGTATTATTGATATTTGCGAATACAAATGCAAATGCAAAAGTTTCAAGTTGATAGTCGCAAATGTAAAAGTGAATATTAACAAATAAATTAAAAATTAGGTACTAAAAATAAATCAAGAACTTCCATTTAAAAGTAAAATTAACAGATGGGAAACAAAAGATGTATCTTTACTATATAAAAGTATTTCAGTAGGCGACTCTTCATATAATTTTAAAGTTCGTATGAACCTCTATTGCAAACGACATAATCTAGCAGAGATACTGACGAATTTTGACACCATTAAGTATTTTGGAAATTTGAATAGTGCATTTAATTCCTTATCGTATTTCAAAGAAAAATAAAGTTATTTGAAAAATTAATAATTTCCAAGATAGTGTTTTTTTAAATCTTTAATAAACTTATTAAATTTGGATAAATCAGGCATTATTATAAAATTATTAATTTCAGAGAAAACAAATCTATTTTTTATTTTTGTAACAAATACAATTTTTTATATAATATTTGTTGAACATTTGTGTAAAAATTTGAAACTTTCAGAAAAAGGCAACTTTCTACACCACTGAATTTTTTGGACTTCTAATGATCACATTGTATTTAAAATTATATTTGTAATAAAAAATAACTTGAAAATGTAAATATTCTTCGACTAAAATGAAGGATATATTTTTCGTTTGACATACTGTTGGCAATTAAATCAAATGAACACACAATCAAATTTACACAATATTCAGTAGCATCGAAATTCTAATATTTTTTAACAGTCTTCCAGTATCTTCCATCACCAGTTGTGCAAGAGCCTTGATATTCCAGTGTTTTATGAAAATAAAATTTCCAAAAAATTTCATTGAAGTACAATTCAGATGTGCTTATGGAATTTCGTAAATAATCAGACATCAAAATGCTTTCCGAGATTATTGATGTTAGTCTGCTAGTATCTCCTCCACTGGTTTACATAAACGTGTAAGAATTCAGTGACTTTTTGCCCTTACTTCATTAAAACTCTGGACCGATTTTCATAAAGTTAGATTAAACTTCAAGGCAGTGGCGGCTCATGACATTGGCAATAGGTGAAGCATATTCGTTCTCAAAAAAAAAAAAAAAAAAATTGAAAATTTTCAAGGTCAAACGGCTTTAAATGAATCTGGAAATTTTTAGTTGCATTTGCAATATTACTGAAAAGCTGACGTTAGCGAGAAGGATTTTCATTTAGATTTTATAAAAAATAGAAATATGTATTAGTTCGGCTTGCACACCGTATATGCATGTTCCAAAGAAGCTTTGTGGTTACGACAGCCTTTTTTCGATATCGATAGAATAAGGCACAGGTCTGTTGCAATTTAAAAAATTCTTTTTGTCATCAATTTTCCATGTGGAAAATGGCCTTTCCAATAAAATACATACTGGATCATACATAGGAAACATTTCTACAATTATTATACAAAACAAATATTAACATTAAAGAACCGTTATAATAGTGCACTGGCGAAGCGTATCGTATAAACTGTTTAAAGGCAGGCGATGGTAATGCTGCTTCAATTTCCGCGTCACGCCGCGCCGTAGTTTACTGTCGTGTTAGCCGCCTCGTTGCCATGACAACCGCCGTAAACAACGCTACAAAAAGAAGCGGAATACAGACTTGTTTCGAACCGCGTCACTTGCTTATGCTATATGCTGTAGGGTACGAGGTTGATATTCGCGCTCAACGAAGGCAATGTTTTTTTAGAAGGCGTTCACCACGCAACTATTCTGTTTATTCCTGCGCATTAAACAAACAAACACAATACATTTTCAATATAGAATTAAACCTAAATTATAAAATTTATATAAAATTAAAAATAATTTTAAATTGCACAACCAAACAGAAATTTTAATTGAAGCAGTGCATCACTTGCGTCACCTGGCGAGCCGCCACTGCTTCAGAGATATTTTCGTAAATGATATATTTTTCAAAAAATTTTGTATCTCGAAAACTAAACCATGTAAAAAATACAAATTTTTCTTCTTAAAATAATTATCTCTCAATTTTATTATTTAATTTACATCTTCAATTTAACTATGTGAAGTTAGTACTACACAAATCACTGTGCCTACGTCTTATTCCTTCCAGCCGAATCTCACGCAACTCTGCGAAAACATATTTATCTACGTCTGAACAATTGCAAATACAAATGTTTGGAATGCCCCTAATTTTTACTTTATTTTATATTCAGGTAAATTACAAAATTTTTCAAAAAATCCTATATCAAGTCGAATAATATTCTTGGATACCAAAAATCTATGCAAAAGATATTCGGACAAGATTTTTAACTGATGATATTGCAAAGAACTCTATGAATTGAATTATATCAGAAATAGCTAGAAATTAATTATTATCTCAAATAAAAATTTTAAATCATATATCATCATGATGGTTAATAATATTTAGACATCATTTTCAGTTTTTATATAAAATTAAAAATTTCTGAATGTATGGGAGATGTGACATTTTTATTCATAACAGTATTCAAATCAAATATTTCCTGCTATTAGAATATTAGCCGTGTTTAAAAAAAAAAACAGGTATATTTTTAACCCAGAACTGGCCATCATTGAATAAATTTTGAAGAAAATTGACATTGGGTCCGTTCTGTAATTACTTTCAGTAGAATTTCAGTAAAACGCACTAAATATTTTTGTTAAGAGGAGTTGGCAACTTGTTAGGGAAATCAGTGAACAAACCTAGTGAAGAATGAACACACCGTATTTTGCATTAGCTGTTGATGTGCGATCTATCAGTAAGGCTAGTTAACAAATTTAAACTTTTGGAGCAATCATTTACTACTAGTTTCCTAATTTCTGTACAGCAAGGCCGCCAACTTTTCAACAAAAATTTTAGTGCGTTTTACTGAAATTCTACTGAGCTAATTATGAAACACACACATTGTCTATTTGAGGGTGCATAGTTCAAAAGTAATATAGAAATCCCTGACTTTTCCAAGTTTTCCCCAACTTATAAAAAATCCAGGTAACTGTATTTAATTTTTACATACTAATTGGTGTTTATGCATCAAACTTTTTCTGGACTAGACTCCCATAATCTTTTTTTATACCCAAAGCACCTCTTATAAAGGTTTCAAAACCACAATTACTTTTCTCTTTCAAGAACCCAGGGCCAGCATTCACAAAATTTCCAGTTGCAAACATCAAATTCCCCGACTTTCATGAATACTTTTAAAATTCCCTATTCCGTTTTTTATGAAGAATAATGAATTCCCCGACTTTTCCCGGTTTTCCAGGCCACTACGAACCCTGTATTCTCTACATGGAACCATGGAACTTTAATTAAGAGGATCGTTACAATGGAACACGCAAAGTCACTAAATTGTTTAGTTTATTTGAAGTCAGTTTGTTTATCCACACCATATCCTCAGAATTTAAATATTAAATCAAATTGATTACTTATTATTTAGCAGGACAACATTTGTTCAATAGCTACTTTAAAAGATAGCTGAAATTTCAAATGTTATAAAGAATTTTTTAGTACTGGTGAGGCGCAGATTTTTCCAAAAAAAAAAAGAATAACAATTAATTTGTAATTTGACATACTTCAGTAATATTTGAGTTTGTAATTAGGTACTGGAAATGAGGCATAGAAATATACATACAAAATAAATGCATAGAGGATATTTGGAACATCTGTACTGAAATAAATAAAAAATATAAGCACCATCTTTTTATTAAATAAAAATATTTTCCATTTTAAAAACAACTCAAAAAGGAAGTATTTTGGTTTTTGATATTTTACTATCAATATATTGTATTGTATAATTCACAAACAGTTCTGACAAAACAACAATAGCAAATAATTATTTACTTTTTATGTGCATTAAAATATTTTTGCCGAAATATCTCGAAGTGTTGTGTGATTGGAAACAGTATATTTTTCACTTGTCCAGTCTTTCTGAATTTTCACACATAATTATGAAAATGTTTAAAATGAAGTTATAATGGAAAAGAACTCCACCCTTAATTTTTTTACATTCTTATAAAATTTTACACGACTTAAAATTTCAAATGAATTTCTTATCAACAGCTGTGCTCAAATAAAAATCAACTTTCTAATTTACCCTTTCTGGCACTGTAGCTCCCTTGTAACAAATTTTAGAGGGTATGTTCACAAGAATTTTGTCTCTTATTGTGACTAGTATTACCAACCCTTAAAGTTTGTTACGTTATTATTTAAAACCCTATAGTTTTAAAAAAATATTTTTCATAAAGTATATTTAGAATTCACTAGGTATGAATCAGTGATTAGTATTTTACCTCTTGGCGCGACATTAGTGCAGGCCCGCAGCATTTGACTTTTTCCAAGACCAGGATCCCCCACTATTAGAATATGTGGTTCTGCTCTAACTGTATCTGATTTTGTACCTCCAAATAGAGCCAACAAAAGTCCAGCTTTTACAATTTCATGACCATATATATTTGGGCATAAAGACAACACCAACAATCTGAATAATTTTGACTCTGAGTGAATTTTCTAAAAAACATATTTGATCACATTTAATTCGAAATATTTATTTTCAAATCATTTTTTTATTACAAGATTATACGTTAGCTTGAGCAAATACAATAATATACAACTTACTTGAATAAGATAATAATCGTTAGTATTAAATATTATTCCTTCTGAATCAGAATAACTTCCTTTATTTTGTCTTTTGCTATTATATACAGACACAGTTTCCAAATATAAATTAAATATTGTGTTTTGTTTGTTTTTACAGTTATTGCTGTTAACATCTCGCACCTAGAAAAAATCATGTATATTTTGTAACTCATTTATAAAAAGATACTTAATTAACAATCATTTCTATTTTTACATATTATTTTTACGTATTAAGAAATCAGTATCAGTTTAAAAAACAGAATGTATTATGATTTTTTTTGTTAATTTTAATTATAAATTTAATCAAAAGTTTAATAGAACCTTACTTTGATAATACCAGTGATAGTTATATCATCACCGGGTATACAGGATTTAACCAAATCCCCCATTAATTCACAATCCAGACTTCGAGGAACTTTTGAATTTTCAAACTAAAAGAAAATTGTGAGTATTAATGGCAATAACCATTAAAATATTTAACCTCTTGGCTTGTTATAAGTTCCTGTATCTTAATGGATTGCCAACTTATTGTTCTATTAAATGCCGAAGAATGGAGTGGAGCAAAATTAGAATGTACTCTACATCCCTTCGTCGGGCAATTGTTTGGCATGGTATAGATTCCGTCCTTTTGCTTTACAAGTTGAGTACCAGTACATGATGGACAAGAGAATGCTAAATATTGACAAATAACTTTAACTTGACCAACTTTTATAACTGTCCCTTTTATACTAACCAGTTTTCCTAAAATTGCACTGTTGTTTTCATTTATATTAAAATTATTATATCTTACCATAATAAATAACTTTAAGATTTTTTAGTTGAAGGGTAGGTTCAAAATTAATGATCTTGGCTTGAATAGGTAGAATATCCTCACTTTCAATAACATTTTCATCTTGTTCTTCATTTTTCTTAACATGACAATTAATAATAAACTGATACATTGCTAAACCAAAACAATTTAGGCAATATTCTGTATTATTTATTACGTCATCTGTAAAGTTTTCCCAAGAGGAAAATATGTCATCCTCTGCTGCAAGTACTTTGTAGTCCACAGCAAAATATCTATCAGTCAATATATTATTAAAATTATAATTAGATTGATTTGACTGAATGTATTGTTCAAAATACGATACACTTTTATTAATTCGTTCACCATCAGCTAAAGATGAAATAAGGTGATTTATATATTTTTAATAGATTAAGTTTGTTTTTTAAACTCTTACTTTCTTCTGGGAAATATAATCGAAATCCAGCATATCCAAAATTTGGTAATTTTTCTATACAACTGATTTCATTTTCGTCAAATTGTTTACTAGACTGAGATCTTTTCTTCTTGTACCAAGATTTGAAATACGGATTAGACATTTTCTTATTAGAATGGTTATTAATATTAATTTGGATTTATAATTATTACAGTGCCTTAATAAATTGAATATATAAACTTAAACAAAACAAACACCAATAGCATGCAATAATACAAACCCGCCAGCATAGAAAAAATAATATACAAGATAGAATGAAATCTCCCTAAATAATCCACTAAACCATTACCACAGCGCCTCTGGTGATTTGGAAGCCTAACTAATGCAAAATGTAGACAACCGTAGATATGTATATGTACATTTGGTTGCCTAATTTAAGTGCAGTATTTATTGTTGCCCATGGGTATTAATTATTATTAAATATTTTTCCTTTATATTTAAAAGTTTAAATATATATTAAAGTAAAGAAATCTACCTTGTTTAAATTGTCCATACTTTAATATATATATTTAAACTTTTAAATATAAAGGAAAAGCATAAACATACCAGAACCCCATTTGTTTAAAGGAATAAAAAAATATTTTATGAAATACAAAACAATTTATTATATAAACTAGAAATGGTTCATTACAACGGAAAGGACATATTTAATACTAAGACTTACTTATCTAAATTATTCTGAGTAAAAATATGTTATGTACTACCAATTTTCTTATATTTACATAACTTAACAAATTCATAAGATTGTTCCAACAGCTGCAGGCCATTTTCAAATTGTCGGAACTCAAAATGAAGTTATTTTATGGCCAGAGATTAATCATAAAGAATATAATTATGTCCAAGCCATGCAATCTTTATTTATTAATTAATATAATTAACTGATTGAAATAACAATTTTACGAGTACCAAGTAAAATGCAGAGAAACTACTGTTGTTTATCTACTAATATCTCTAGATATTAAATTGTATCAGCTTATATATTAACAAATCCGATAAAAAGTATTATTTCACTTCAAAATGTTAGTACTCATTATTATTAAGATAAAA